AAAGAAACTAAAGAAACCTAAAATCCGTAAAGTGGTTAATAAGGAAGAAGAGGGTATAGGCATGGCGTCTATACTGGCGAGGTCAGTAATCCACGCACATACAAGTCTGGCTTGTATCGCTGAATCTCATGACTCGGAACATTCGCCGGCTTCCACAATGAGACAGACGAGCGAGTCAGAACCCACTTTGAATGTATCCGATGATGAAAAAGTTCGAACCGATTGTGCACACGCCCCTAATGACGAAACTGACAAAGATAAAAGAATTATACCAGAAATATTTTGCTCATCTCTCGATAATATTAAAAGCGTTGATACTGAAGCTAAAGAGGATGATACAAATCAGAGGAAGCTATCTGAATCCTGCCCGACTACACCTGTAGTGGTTAGAAGCGATAATCTCTTAAAATTGCCTGGAGAAGGTGACTTTTATGGTTCAATATCGTCTGCATTATCAGTCGGCAGTTCTGAGTATACAAGCTCGGAAGAAGATGATGAAAGTTTTGGATTAAAAGATTCGAGCCGAACAATCGAGACTACGAGTTCGGTGGTACAATCTGTTTTAAGTCATGATGCGAATCCAGATTTTATTGCCCAAATGGAAAGAAAACTAACATCGCTCGAAGAAAAAAGGCATAACTCGGGTGATGAAAATTGTGGAATTATTGATCATGAAAATATGAGTAGCCGGGATGACATTGAAATTAAACTCAAAGACGATGAGTTAAAAATATTTCAAGAAGAAGCAACTAATAATAAGGTAGTAAAAATAGAAAAAGAAGTTAGTAACGGAAATATCCCAAGCACTTCGAAAACAGATTCTCATACGGATAAAAACAAGTGCGTATCTAGTAATCCTATCAAAATGAACAACCCCTTTGCTCATAAGAAAGCTTCTAAGAGTATTAGCGCACCCTCCTCCCCTGTAGATAAAAAAGGCTTTGTATACCGCTCATCAAAACGTATTAAACGTCAAATATCCAAGTTCACTCAGAGTAGTATGATCAAAAGCTTGTCTCATTACACCCTTAGGCCGAAGAAAAAACATGAGACCCCCAAAACTGCTATGAGTCAGCCTGGTTCCGCTTCAGACGTTACTTCTAAAGCGCCCAGCGAGACAGTTTTAGGCTCCCCATTCCTCTCTTACTCTGATCTGTTGACTCTCGATAAACAAGGATTCGAATTGAATCGTCTTCACAAGAGCGATGAAACGGGAATCGCTAAAGTTTCCATGTATATCGGATCAGAACCGGTTTCACGGATGTCCTTTAGCGGTCCCTCGGGATGCCACAGTAAGAGTCATAGTTTCCGCGAGCATCGGTCTCGAAAGAAAGAAAGATCCTCAATCAGACCCGCAGGTTTGGTTCAGACCGCGATGGAAACTATGTTAATCGATAGAGTACAATCTCTTTTAATACCTACATCGCCTGAACC